TTCTTTCTTCGGAATCTTCACCCCCTGTACTTTACTCGGTCTTTCACACCGCCATCCACTCCCATCATTTTTACCCCTCCCCGTCTGAAAGAAGGCCCCCGCAACACCTCCTATACATCGTGCAACCCCCCTCGCACCCCCCCTTAGCTCTATCCAAAAGAAAACCCCTCAACTAACACCCCTCCAAAAAGTGGGCCATGAAAAAAATAACCAACACCGTACACCCCACCCGCTGGGAAAACAGCCGCAACCCACCTCCCAAAAACAGAAATGACCACAACCCAAGTACGTTCGTTTTCTTCTTTTTTTCCCTTTAATTTCCTCCCCGAATCCTTTCTCATCGCCGTTCCCCCCTCTATTCCATTTATATCCCATTCCCCTTAAACCCTCCCTCCTTTTCCTTCCCCATTGCTCCCCCTCATCCCTCATCCCTCATCCCTCATCCCTCATCCCTCATTCCTCCCCTCCCCCTCCCCTCTACACCCACCACCGCTCCCACTAACACCCCTCCCCCCTCCTCAAAAAGATCCTCCGCATCCACCCCCACACCGGATCCTCCAAACTCCCGCCGCGGCGGCCCCCCCGAATCCAAATCCGATCTCAAAGACCTCCCCCTCCGCGAACGCGTCTGGACCGGTATAATACCCGTGCATCTGCAATACGGCACGCCCATCGCAGCGGAACAATGCAAAGTATCTGAGGTACCGGGGTATATTATTAATTTTGTTCAGGAGAGGAATAAAGAGGGGGGGGAGTTTGCTGTGAGGATGGCAGGGGAAGGGGAGGAGGGGGAGTGATGGGTGGGGAAGGGGAAAAGCGGGGATGATGAGAATGTGTATGTGTATGAATTTGCAATTTAAGAATAGAATGTAGGAAGGAGGAAATACAATACAATAACGTGAATTTGCTAAGTCTTACTTAATTATTAATTTAGCTCCTTTTTTCCCAAAAAATTTCCAGAAAAAAAAAGAAACAACAGTAACAGCAACATAATTCCTATTCTAACCATCAATCTCTAATACAATAATTCCAGATACCTATATATCTATCTATATACTGTTACGAGTTTTGCCGTCTAGATCACGTGGAAGTGCTCTAGGCTCTTGAGGTGGTTTATAACTAGGCGTCAAGCAGGGACTTAAGTAATGACAATAATGATATACAATTCGTAACTAATAATAAAGTATACTAAATAATTGATCTTGAATACAAAGCTCTATACAAAGGAAATCTATCTTGATTATATAGACCTTTATATCTATAATTAATCAGGACTGTATAACAGTCCTGAATAACTAGCATTCCTCAACGATCTATAATGTGACTTTAATCATATTATCTTGGTTTAGTCATATAACGCAGCATAGAAGATAGCCGTTGTAATATATGGTAATCGGTTCGTAGAGTCTCTCCACCTTCAGCAAGCACAGACATATAGTCTGATCCAAGTCACATGATGGACCCTGCATATTCAGGGATACGAATCGTAGGTCCATACGAATCGTAGGTCCATACGAATCGAAGGTCCACAAACTCTCAGGATCCAAGAGATCCAATGGAGGACGAAGGTCTATATAATCAGGATGGTTTCCTTTGTGTAGAGCTTGGTGCTCAAGATCAATCATTTAGTATATCCTACTATTAGTTACGAATTGCATTTCATTATTGTCATTACTTAAGTCCCTGCTTGACGCCTAGTTATAAACCACCTCGAGAGCCTAGAGCACTTCCACGTGATCTAGACGGCAAACCTCGTAACATCAGGTACCTTTACACCAAAATTTGTATGTAAAGATACTTAGAGCGAATTTTTCTAACTCTATAAATACTAGAGATATAGTTTCGATATTTTAAAGTATGATATATTCAATTTAAATATTTAATATGATAAAATATTATAGAGATACAATTTTTTTTAATAAAGATATTAAAGTTTCTTTCAAATTTTCGTTTTTGTCTAACAAAAATTACTATGGGAGTTTTTAAAATCGTATTAATTCAAGAACAATATTATTAAAAAGTGTTTTGTAACTTTAATACTATATTTTTATTAGATATCAAGCCTAATTATCAAAAAAAATAAAATTATCTTTAATATCCATAGAGATATAAAAAGTCGTTCTAAGTACCTTTGCATACAAATTTTGGTGTAAAGGTACCTGACCCATACCATGACATGACCCACTTCTAGTCAAGTTACGTTAAATAATAATAAATAATAATAAATAATAATAAATAATAATAAATAATAATAAATAATAATAATATAGTTATTTATTTCATCTCATCTTATGACCACCTCACACCATCATCATAGCCACTCCTCAGACCCTCGACTTCTTCTTTCACTCCCATTCCCATTGTGACGGAAATCCCTGCTTTCCTCCCACCTTTATTATATAAGAAACCTCAGGTACATTAACCATGTCCACACATGATACGATTACTCGAGATTAGTATGCGATTTAGGTGACCTGAGGATCAGATCCGGACAAGTACTAGGTATCAATGGTTATCGGTAAAGTAAGATCATTGGAGGAATAAATATGACTTCTTTTTGCCTAGCCATTGCGGCTAGGCCATTCATTTGTGTATATATAGAGTAGCTATCCCCATCTACAGGTGCTCTTCACCTGTAGATTCTAAGTTAAATACAATTGCTGGTCTATAAACACCCTTTTGGTCACACCCATTCCCATTCCCACTCCTACTCTCACCAAAACCAACACATCAAATACAAACCCATCCAATCAAACCAATCAACTTGTAACGATACTGTACTGGAGGCAGCGGCTGCCTAAGGTTTCGTCTGGTTGGTAGTTGTGGGTTAAGGCTTTATCACTGGTCTTCACTTGGAAGTGAAGTCGTTACTAGATCAAGTAGAATGTAGGTAAACTAATTGATAACTAAGTTGAGCACGAAGCTCCTTAACTACGAGACTAAATGAATGTTTATATACCCTATATCACCTTTTGAGGACCTCTGGGACCCTAAGGTCCAAAAGGTCCTCGAGGTCACGTGAATTAATGAATCGTGACACAACTACAAAATCCATCCATCCACCTCATCCCATCAAAAATTCAACAAAAGAATCAAAAAAAAAAAAAAGATAGATGAATTTTGCAAAACTGTCACTTTTCATTTCATTTCATTTCATTTATTTCTTCTCTCTCCCCACC